TTAGGGCTTTGGGGTTTAAGGTTTAAGGTTTAGGGCTTAGGGTTGAAGGTTTAAGGTTTGGGGTTTAGGGTTGAGGGTTAATAACTCCTGTAGCAGTCCCCTTCAAGGAGGTGGCTCCTAAACTTTGAAGGACGTCTAGCACACAGGCATTCGCGAGCTCAATTTGGGTGCTTTCAGTTTGTGGGCTTTGATCCCCAAACCCCTAAAACCCTAAACCCCTAAAACCCCTAAACCCAAAAACCCTAAACCCCCTAAACCCCTAAAACCCCTAAACCCAAAAACCCTAAACCCCCTACACCCCTAAACCCCTAAACCCCTAAACCCAAGGGCCCTGGCAGCGCAACTGTGCTTCCATACCTCAGGGAGCCACAGAGGAAGGGGGGTTGAGGCCGAGCTTCGAACCAATGAAGCTGGTTGTAAGGGTTTAGGGTTTAGGGTTTGGGGTTTAGGGTTTAGGGTTTAGGGTTTAGGGTTTAGGGATTAGGGCTTGGGTTTAGGGATTAGGGTTTGGGGATGGCGAAATACGAATAGCAAAAATAGTAGCAATAGTGATAGTAATGATAGCAATACTAATAGTAATAGCAGTAATGATAGCAATTGTTTCTAGGTTCTGCTCTGAGAGGCACATGACAGAGGCACCTCATCCTGTGATGTGTCGCAAGCTGAGCCCTGGACTACATGTGTAGTATATCCCTTAAGAGGTCCCCACAAAAACCCTATACAATCCCACTGGAGGTCCCCCCACCCTAAACCCTAAACCCTAAACCCTAAACCCTAAACCCTATCTGAGGCTCCGCGCATGTCTCCCTCCGTGGAGTTGCCGGTGGGTTCGTAGCGAGCGGCCTCTGTCCATCCTCCCTGCGCCCTCGGAGGAAAGTGAAGTCAGCTCGAGTGGTGTATTACTATTATTATTGTTATTGTTATTATTATTATTGCTGTTGCTATTGTTATTATGATTATTGTTATTAGTATTGTTATGATTATTACTGTTATTATTGTTATTCTTAAGCTTGTTCTGACAATCATCACTACCCTTACTATTGTTGTTATTACTATTACGATTACTATATTTCTATAATTTGCTATACGACCCTAAACCCTAAACCCTAAACCCTAAACCCTAATTTGTTATTCGTATTCTTATTACTTCTGTTCATGCGGGAGAGTCAGAGGATTCTTGTAGGAGCTGCTGCCGGCCTCTCGAAGATGTAGACCGCCCCCACCGCGTCCGGGTCCCAGGCTGCCACAAGAGCCTGTCTTTCAACTGGGTTTAGGGTTTGGTTTAGGGTTTAGGGTTTAGGGTATAATAGTAACAGGAATAAAACGATAAGAACACAAAAAATAGAAGAATAATAACCATCCTTGACAAGTTCTGTAATGCGCGTGTATATATTGCGTGAATAGATATGTTGTAAACCTGTAGTTGCGCGTACTATGTATACACATATGTGTATATATATAAATATATACATGCACACCATGTTCATCTATAGATGTATATTCATATGTATATGTATCTATGTCTATGCACATACATATACAGCAATATATATATATACACACATGAAGATGTAGATAATATTACCCTAAACCCTAGACCCCATATACTCTTGGCCCGGTTGGGGTCTGAGATCTTCGCGTAGGATCCGGAGATGGCCATGGCGGAACCGAAGCGGTCGAAGGCCGTGGTGTCGCTGGCCACGAGCTTCGCCTGGGAGAACTTACTGAGGCTTAGTAGAGAATAAGGGAATATGAAAACAAAACATGTTATAGTATCTATCTATCTATCGATCTATCTATCCCCATCTATCTATCTTCTATCTAAGTGTAGAGTTTAAAGGTTTAGGGTCCTTAGTTTAGGGCTTAGGGTTTAGGGTTATGCTTCTCAAAGTACAATAGATTGAATGTAAAAGGCTCAGCTTACATAAACGTACGGCTGGTCAGGGTCCTGCAACGCAAGATCGACCTGACTGCCTGAATGAAACACAAAAACTCACCTACCTCATTGCTCACACGCTAAGTGCCCAGGCCTCCTGCACCCAGTCTCCACCGCGGAAAACATACGCAGCCCCTGGCATCAAACAGGCAAACCCATTAACAAAGCAGGAATAGGTTATAGATACGATGAAATGGGACTACTACTGTAGATACTAGAAAGCCCAAGGTGTAAGGTACTTCGGGTCATGCAGGATTTCTTGTATCCACCGTAGAAGTGTCCACGTAATAGTGTAATTGGAATATAAGACTGGGTCATGGTAAGAGAAAACAGAGGAGTCCGACCCAGACAAATCACAGTGGACCGTCATGGCCGCAGCCTCAAACTAGAGTACAAGGCCGAGCTACAACAGCAGGCAGTAACTGTACAAAGGAGGCTGCAGTGGCTTGACTGACCCAAGCGAAGGCCGACAGGAGGGATGCATGACAGCGAGAGGATTCGCAGGCCAGTGCGGAGACAACGAACGCATATAAGAGAACCCGAATAGAACCCCTATTCTCCCTTATGATTACTGTTACTGGGCAGGGTCTCACCTAAACCCTAGACCTTTTCAACCCTAATACCTACCTGGGGTACTCATTCCCTACAAAGCACCAAGTAGTTGTGCGCAGAGCGCACCGCTGCCGGTGCCGCCAGGCCCAGTATGCCAGTCCGCGCCCACCTCACAAAAAGCAGGCTCCAGGTTTATGTTTTAAGGACTGAGGGTAGGAATAAACAAAACTTCAGTGTACAGTCCAAGGCCCTCAAAACATGTGGGTAGTTCCGAAATTAGGGTCCCATTTTGGTACCCGCAAGTTTTAGGTGCCGTAATGTAACCTGCAAACACAAGGATGTCTACATACAGACATCAAACATATGCACAAGCATACATGCGGTAAGAAATGAACACATGCACACATGAACATGTTGTTTGCGTGTAGGCTGTCTTCCACATCCTAGACCCTTAGTAGTAGTTTTCATGTTCTCCACTATCCCTGTGTGACCCTGGAATCCCTCAAAAACAACTTTATTCTCCCTATATAGCCCTAGATAATCCCTCATATGGTACTATATCATCCCTACATGACCCTATATAATCCCAAAGAATCGCCTATATTATCCCTCAACCCTAAACCCTAAACCTCTAAACCCTACACCCTAACCCCTAAACCCTTGATCCTGAAACGTTATCCCTGTGATCTCTGGCGTCTCCGGGGCCGGCACCAGCGCGTCGCCGACCTCCGAGATGGCGACGGCGACGCCGAAGTGATCCCCCGCCTTACGTGGTTTAGGGGGTTTAGGATTTAGGATTTAGGATTTAGGGTTTAGGGTTTAGGGTTTAGGATTTAAGGATTTAGGGTTTGGGGTTTAGGGTTTAGGATTTAGGGCTTGGGGTTTAGGATTTAGGGCTTGGGGTTTAGGATTGAGGGTTAGAGTTCAGGGTTCGGGGTTTTGGGGCTACCTACCCAGACCCCTTAAAGGACCCAAAAAATGGAACCGCCACAATATGAACCCATTACTACATTGGGGTAACTAGGGGATGATTAGGGGGTTCCATTTTTTAGATCCTTTTGGGGCCTACACACCCTAAACCCTAAACCCTAAACCCCGCCTTGGTGTCGTTGGCGATCAGCTTGGCCTTCGCAAAACCAGGCTTGGGGCTTTTTGGAGCTTAGGGGTCAAAATGTTCGGGGCATATATTCCTATGTGGGTTTAGGGTTTAGGGATATATTCCTAAATGTTACTATATATTACTATATGATAATAGATGTTGCTGAAAAAATCTTGTACGATATTACTGTAGGATTTCAGGGTAAACTATCTTGGGGTTCGGGGGTTTGGGATTTCGATGTGGTGGCCTGCTGCTGCCAGCCGGAGCTTCTTGTGAAGATGTAGGCAGACCTTCAGCCGGAACTGGAACTGGAACTGGATGCTGTATATAGGGAAAAAGAAAATGGAAACTACTAAGGGTTATATAGAGGTTATATAAGGATTATAGGGTATATAGTGGGGTGGATTGTTTGTTGTTATGATTGTGACTGTACTACTAGTACTATGATCAATATTTCTAGTACTGCTATGTTTAGCAAACTTTTCAACCGAACTAGCTGAGCTCAGAGGCCCTGTGTCTGCCAAGGCGTTCTCATCGTGGCCACTAGCACCCACGATAAGGTAGTCACCTGAGTCATAGTCTAAACTCCTAGGATCCCCCTTAATACCCCTATAGTAGTCCCTTATATAATCCCCTATATAAGCCCCTCTGAGGAGTTTAGACTATAGTCACCTGACTGCAGCGGACGAAGCTACAACTGGTGAAGCACTGGGACCCCTTAATCTCCCAATTTTTTGTTCTCTATACCTTTTTATATCCCTGCATGAGCCTAGCTGACTTCCTCACATACGCCCTATATCGCCTTTGAAGGGACCCGGGAATCCCTTTGAAGCATCCACTGACTCGGAAAGATCCGGAAAGCCAGCCGCGCCTGCCAGTTTCACCGAGCTGCCGAAGCGGTCGCCGGCGGCCTGAGCTTGGGGTTCGATCTTCTGGGTTGCTGTTAAGGAACTTAAATTGAGTTACTATATTGGGGAAACCCTATTATTTACTATATATATATATATACCCACTATGGTAACTTAATTTAAGTCCTTAACAGCAACCCAGTCTTTATGTGAGGTGTAAAGTTGAAACCATGGGCCCCTAGTATGCACCCTTAACCCCAGGATTAGTATATACCTACTACATACCCTTTACGTGCCCTTTAAGGGTCATTGGAATCCCCCTAAAAGGCCTAAGGGCCCGTACTTCCAACCTTAGATAAGGGGCCCTTGTATATCCATGAATGTAATTGTTTAAGGGCTTTAGGAGATTTTCTGGGATTTGGGGCCCTAATCTAACCTCCATAATCCCTATAGTTTCCATTTTCTCCCCTTTTCTTTTCCATTATCCCTATATCACCCCAACAAAAATCCCCTATATAACCCTACAATATAGTAGTTCCCATTTTCTTTTCCATGATCCCCATGTAATCCCAACCCCAAACCCTAAACCCTAAACCCCAAACCCCAAACCCCAAACCCTAAACCCTAACCCTATAGTAGTTTCCATTTTCTTTTCCATTATCCCCACATAACCCCCATATCTACCCTATAACCCCTATAAAACCCTATATAATCCCTATAGTTTCCATTTTCTTTTCCATTATCCCCATACAATCCCAACCCCAAACCCTAAACCCCAAACCCCAAACCCTAAACCCTAAACCCTAAACCCTAAACCCCAAAACGCCAAACCCTAAACCCTAAACCCTAAACCCCAAAC